AGATAATATGATGTTTTGTAGATGATTGAATGTGTGAGGGATTTTACAGAACTGAAAAAAACAAAAACAACTTTTATATTTGACCCTCTGTATTAAAGAAACATACCTTCAATGTGCACAATGATTGCTTTTAAAACACGTTAATCAGTCGAGAATACAGTTTCCAGTTTATACAGATTGTATAGAGATTCTTGTTTTTGTACCCAAGTAAGCTAAATAGCATTTTGTATCAGATAATACTTGAAACAAATTGGGTTTTTGGAACAATTGTCCAAGTTGTTAGTTTTTTTATAGATCTTACATGAAGACTTTGTCTTTTTGTCACTAAAACAAAGGTACAGTTGAAGAATTTGAATCTTTTTTGTCACTGATTAAAAAAAAAACAAGAACAACCGGGATTACAACATTTATCTGTCTCTTGTCAAATTGCAATCTAAATTGAGATGCTCAAGAACTAATAAAATGAAGAAAATAGTTCATTTATAAACGAGTTGGTTTTTGAATGTATTTTGTGTTATTTTATAATGTACTGGATTTTATCAGTGAAATATATTTAGTATCACTTTCTACAAGACATTTGTCAAGAAAATCAACTTTTTTCATTGATAAGCATATGATTGAAGAGAAAGACATTTTTTGGGGAATATTTTAAATAGATTTTTTTTATCATCACTTTCACAATGCATGTTAATGAAAATATAAAATATATCTCACAGTTGTCAGTGAGACACTTTACCGTATTTATTCAAATAGAATTGATGTCTGCTTCCTGTTATATACTTTGATGTTTGCAGTAAAGGAATATAGAGAAATGTAAATGTTGTGCATGCCTATAAAAATATATGAAAAATATCTCACAGTTGTCAGTGAGATATGGAAGAGGATGAATATATTGTGTAGGGATACTTTGAAGTTAATTATCCGATCTCAGAAAACGGGGATGTGATACATAATTGTAAGTTGAATTAAGAAATGCCATGAAAAAAGTTTTGATAATACAAAATTGTTATTTATGTAAACATGGAGATGTGTGCCATGAAGTGATTGTGTTTAAACATTTTATTTGTTACTTGATGCTGAATAACTTATCACCTGTTGATTAAATTTGCTAAAACTAATACTTGTTCTCCTTGTTTTTATACTTGTTTACCTTGTTTTCATACTTGCTTTCCTTATTTTAATACCTGTTTTTGACCAATGTCATCAATAGAGACGATATTGATGTATCCTTGATATTTTTCTGTTGATCAATAATCGATACACAGTTAAAAAAAATCAATAATTTTGATTATTTATTTTAATGTCAAAATTATGAAGATTTACCCAAAACATATACAAAAACAGGTGGTCATGTCTAACACTAAGCTGTTGTTACATTATGAACACATTTCATAGCAGTGATGAATAAAACTGGTTAGGTAAAAATCATGCAAAGGACATTTATGAACAGGATACGAACAGAAATCAGAACATATATTTTACTAAAACCATTTAAACATGTATGAAAGTGAAATATATACAAGAAATTAGAGTAAATATTGATGTATCGCTGATATTTGTCATCTGATATTGATGTATGGTCAATATGCTTTGCTATAAATCACGGATATAAATCCGTGTATAAATCAATGACGGCTCTACTTTGACATACCACTAATAGGCAGGCATAGAATCTGTCACAGAGATGTATCACCTTGAAATAAATTTAATTTCATTTTGGGTAAAATATTGCATGTTTGTTACTTCAGTTTTCAAGAGACTGGGATTACATTGATAAATTGCAGCAAACAAACATATCTATAAAGTTAAATTCTTGTCATGAGCAAATGTACAGTTTTATGATTTAGTAATAGCCTCAACAGTTTATGTAACTATTAGTTTATATAACGTTGCTAGCATGTTGTATTTAATGGAAATTTGTTATAAAAAACTTTATCATTCATATATTGCTGCATATAAATGATTGTCATATATGTTTGGGTTATGTAAGTTTACAAACATGTACACTGGGACACATTACCTATTTATTTTGACATTACTAGAGTAATAAACTCAGATTAATGTATTTGTTAACTATACAATTTGATACACTGTCTATGGCATTAGAGTGCATTAGATGTGCACTTACACTTTAGAAAATTGACTGATTTGACTTAATTAATAATGTAAGGGAGGTAAATATGCTAGAATTCTTAAATATGTACTGCAGAGTTGTCATGCCTGTTAAAGCTTAACACAGCCTTTACTTAATAAAATTTCTAAAGTCTGCTATATAAAATCGGTGAAATGACTTTTTTTTACAATAATAGTTTGAAATTTCATACCTAGGTAAAACATCATAACGTTCATAAATACTTATGACGCGAACAACGTGTCATATACGGATGGAAAACTGTCTTTTGAAGAAAAAAAAAACACCAGAAAACTGGACTGTTACAAGCTTCAAACTCGGCAAACATCTAGACATTTCATGATTTCGACAAAAAATTGTTGTAGTGCTTTATGTTATTAACCATCTAACTGAAGGAAACTGCTTTTCTTAAATACATGTCATACTTTAAGAAAATGTTGCCCTGCCCGTGAATTTGCAAAATGTACAGAAAAATGACTGTATCGCTTTCAGTTTTATTATACCAATGTTTACCTATGTTTAATGGCAAAGTAAAACATGTTTGCTTACAGAATTTTCTGTTTGCTGACAGAATTTTAAACTACTTCAAGAGCCGATGAACTGAAGGAAAATAATTGGATAATGATAAATCATGTGCGAAACTGGGATATTTAAAACAACACCACCAACAAAAAGCCGAAAAACAACATGCAGCAGCACATACATGTAACACAAAACACAACAACAACAACAACAGCAGCAGCAGTTCCCTCATGTTATTATGAACGAAACAAACATTTTTTATGTTCTATATGGGCTATATACTATAGTAAGATATCTTAACATACATAATTATACATAAATAATATAAATGCCGAATATGTGAAATACTTGATTATGTGACTAGCACCTGTGGAACGAACATTGTGTTTAACTTGAACATAAGTAAATAAAACACATTGCGATTTTCATCTTCACCATTTATGTTCAAGTTTCTCAATAAATGATAAAACTTCGTCTTTTCAAAAGATGCAACAACAGAGATATTCATCAGGTGATCAAGGTCATGTGATCAAGGTCACGTGTTCAAGTTCATGTATTTTCACTATATATATAGGTGAAAATGTATAATTTCACTATTTCATGTAAGAATTTTTTCAAATAGAAAGCACGTGATTTTTCAACGGGTCAAAATGAAATGTTATACCGGCGGGTACAGAATAGACAAGGAAGCATTTCTTTAGCAACATACCCGTCAGATGCCCACATAACAATGGGTGCTGCGAATACAATGTACATGTAACGACTCTACATATATATTCGTTTAAGATACTATTTTGCTGAGCCCACCAAGACCTATTGCATCTATTTCTTTGAAAATAAGCCATTGAAACAATTTGAGTCTGCTCTGTACGGCAATTTAAGACACATGGCGCTAACCAAGTTGTAAATGTGCTATGTGTTTGTAAATTTGCTATGTGTTTGTTATTTTGCTTAGTTTTAATTTATGTAAAATGCTTAGACTACATGTTTTGTTTGTTTGCTTTGCTTTTGTGCATCCCTTATTAGTTTGCTTATATGCTGTGTGTTAATTTTCCTTAAACCCTATATTTATGCTAGCTGAGTCTTTGTTGTATGATCTGTATGCTTTGTTCATATTAAAACTCCTTATTCCCCATTCCATTAGGCTGTGCATGCAACTTAATTTTAGTTAACTTTGTTTGTTACCCTGAATGTGCTTTATCTTGTTTCTTTTTTATGCTGTATTAGTTCTATCATAAATTTTTATGCACTTTTATAAGTAAGTTTTATTCATCTATTTATTTATTTTTTAGGAAACCTTCAATTACGTATTTATAAATTGTTGATGTTAACTTAAAACTATTACTATTTTATTATTTTTTTTTCTTTTTTTTTAAAATTTTATTATTATTCTTATTTTACATTGCTATATGTATCATACTTTAATCTCTAGACTACAATCATTTATTACTTTTAGAAACTGTTATTACTTTTAATACAACATGTACTGTGCATGTCATCAAACTATGCCTTAATTTACCATCTTATTGTAAAGTCCTTCTTAACCTTGATACTTTTATTTCATGCGTAAAGCTGCTAATAGTTTATATGTTTTTATTTTCAGAACTGTTATATGTTAGTAAATATGTTTTATGCCATTGTTATTGTCGGTAAATAGCTTATTAGCTAATGTTTATTGTAATATGTAAACCGACTTAAAATAAAGTTTCTTGTATCTTGTATCTTGCCATATAGTATTATAGATGTTTTGACAGGCGCGACGAGTTTGGCCTGCGTCATGGGCATTACATTAACATAAACAAAATCTCATTTTTTTCATAGTTTTAAAATACACAAGTTATTTTCCAGACCCTGTGACCTTCCCTGTATTTCCATGTTAAGGAGGTGTATTGGCAATACTAAAGTACAAATGTTTTGATAGGATACATAATATGTTTGCACCCACTGTAGAGATTTTTAGAGTTCTTTTACTGGTATATGAATTAACGAGGAAGTGGTTCAGATACAGGTGATGGAAATTTGACTGATCCATCAATGTGACATGCATGTTCGTCTCTAGCATGGTCCTCAAGCGGCATTTTGATTACCGACAAATTGTAATAAAATGGATTTACTTCATTGTGTTACATATCTGGGATAAAGTGTTGTTTATTTATTTTAAAGTACGCATCTGTCTGTAAGATTTTTTTTATTCATAGACTTATATTTGTATGTACAGTATACATAGCTTTTTCAAAAATATATTATATGTGTACATTTATACATGTACATGGCAATATGCAGAAAGGAATATTGAATAAAATGTACGAACATTAAAAAATCCTTTATTTCTCACCCTTCATATACAGAGATCACTATTTTAGGTGGAAATGATGAAATAAAAAAACACGGTAGATTAAAACATGTGAATTTAGCGATGTATAACCTGACAAATTAGTAAATGTAATAACAGACGTTTAAAATACAATATTTATGATTTAACAATTGTTCCCTTCCAGAACTTGTCAAAGGCTTGACTCATACAGTACTTATAATTTAACAATTGGTCCCTGCCAGAACTTGTCAAAGACTTGACTAATACAGTATTTATGATTTAACAATTGGTCCCTGCCAGAACTTGTCGAAGGTTTGGTCCGAGTTGCTGGACTCGGCTGGTAGCTGGAATGCTGGGATTTCTTCAGCTTTCTGTTTCAGCACCTCGTGGTGTTTTCGCGCCTCCACCTGTTTTCTGCAGCACCGGATACAACTAGGAATATATAACCAATTGAAATTTAAAAAAAAAATCAATACGAAACAACAACAACAACAGTATTAACCCCCCTCCAAAAGAAAAAAAAATATTGCTTTTCTCAAAATCTTGAAATGGGCCAAGACAACTGAGACTTGGTATTCTGGTATTTTACTTCAGGAAAAAGAGTTTATGTGGTTTTAATGAAAATAACTAGTTTAGTGAGCACCAAACTGTAACAGTAACTTCACTAAAATTAATCGTTTCTTATAGATTTCGGTTGAAAGCCTTTCATAAATACAATATATAATTATTTATTGTTCCATAGCATTTTACCTTTTCTTCAGTCAAATTACATAATGCAACAACGACGACAGGGCAGGTTTCTAGAAAAAGAGGTCCATGACCCACCAATGTCTTTCGCTGTTATCTTTTTTCATCTTCTTAGACAGTGGATGCGGACAGTGCTACGACAAAATAGTATTTTTGAGATACGTGCGACACAAAATGAGAATGGACGGACGGATGGACGGACGGACAAGGGTAAATCTATGTGCCCCCATAAAGTGGCGGCACAAAAATGTAATATTTTCTCTAAGAGTGTGCCCACCTGCAGTATCTTTCCTGTGCAACATATACTTTTTGAGCAACGTAATCGGTTGCCCTGGATACTCGCTTATTCTTTCTGCACCAGAACCAATAAATGAGAAAGGCGGCCAAGGTGACCGTGATTACACCAAGACATATACCTATCAGACGAAACTGTTTCCAGCTGAAATAAAATAATGTTAATATTAACATGGTTGTTATGTACGTATTAAATAGCTTTATAGATGAACATAAAACATTTTTTAAACAACTTTATTTTATAAGACATGAGGGTCGACCATTGGGACTATTTAGAAAACGTTGTGAATCTTACGCATTTCATTCTTTTCTGTGCATTAATCTTTCTCGTTTTCATATTTTGTATGTGCTCTTGGGGTTCTGTTATACCGATACTTTAAAGGTCATATGACAATTTTCCAGCTTTATTGGTGCCCCTCATTACATTATTCAGGCTCGAGCTGGCGCCTGAGTAGACTACTTTCATGCCATGAGCTATCTGGATAGTTTCCTCACATGAAATGAGGTCCTTGCGGGATATGAACCATCTACGTTGCGGACCAGTGGTCCGAAGTCAAGGACCTTAACCATTGGGCTGCGGATGTAATTGTATGCTTCATTAATTAAAATTTCTTTTTTCAGAGCTTGGTTAGCGCCATATTCGCGTTTTAAAAAGTTTGAATTTGAGTATAGATGTGAAGAGGAGAATCAAGAGCTAGCTAGATATTCTCTCATTTAATAAATTCTGAATGTCGATCTCGCGCCCAGAACTATTTCTAAATATTTACGATATTTACTTAAAAAAAAGAAGGTAATACTGATCTACTACCCCGACAAACGGCAATCGCCCGACTAATGCTTGTTTTATAATCGATTTCAGATGTAGTTCTTAGTTCTATAGATGCAATCTTTGTTTTCGTCTTTTAAAACTTCATTCACAGAGCTAGCTATGGCTATCTATCTCGATATTCGACCTTTAAAATCTCAGGACTGGCTCTGAATTCTAGGCAAGCTCGATTTTTGCGCTTAGTAAACTGTGGATATTAATTTCAGAAGTTCAACTCTGAGCCCCGACTGCTGGCTCTAAATTATTTCAAAGACACTGTTTGAAATGTTGGAATAAACAAAGCTGGGTGTTCTTCTAAGGATGTACATGTACATACTTTCCTCCGGGTTCGCAGCAGCCAACTGCATCGTCTATCTTACAACACTCGGTCCTACCCATCTGTACCTGTAAGTCAGTGCTACAGTCCATGTAGTTTGAACCATATGGTTCCAAACTTTTGTCCACAATACAGTCAGGATCATCATATTCTGAAGAAGTTAATGAAAGTGTTTCCCGCTTTGTGATTCTTTTAATCGATTAGATATTTATTATCTAAGTAACTGTTCATTATTTATTGCCCACCTTTGGAATCAGGCGAGTGACATAGATATTTATTATATAAGTAACTGTTCATTATTTATTGCCCTCCTTTGGAATCAGGCGAGTGACATTAGCACGCAACACGACTCGAACCTGTTAAACGTTTGATAACAGATTTGTCAGCTAAGTGCTTCCTTAAGCCTCGGTCTCACTTATTCCCGGCAGAGCCCAGGACCATCCAGGTAATTTACCGGGATGATCCGCGACGATCTGGGGTGAAATTATTGTTGCGGTCACACTTACCCCGGCAGCACTACGGTAGTTTCCTACTAACCACCCAGGATGCGCTCCGGATAATCCAGGCAGAGCTCAGGTGAAGCTACGGATCATGCCGGTGCTTCCCCGGTCGTTCCCGGATGACGCCGGAAGAGCCCCGGTTGACCCAGGCAGAGCCCCAGTCGATCCAGGCAGAGCCCCGGCAGAGCCCAGGACGATCCAGGCAGAGCCCCGGTAGAACCCCGGTGGATTGAAAACGCCCGAAAATGATAACATTGATACATATTTTTTATTTAATATAATATCTATTGTTCCAGAATAGTAATTCATTATGATTTTCTGAAAAATCCTTATGCCATACTGGATAGAAGGGAAATGGGAAGGCTTTTATTACAAACAAATGCAATCATCGCAAATTCTCGTTTTTCTTTTGAAATGATCCGGGCTTTGCCGGGGCTCTACCGGGATCAACCGTAGCTCTACCTTTATCCTCCGGGGTCTGCCTGTAGTTACCGGGGCTCTGCCGGCATATACCGGGGCTCTACCGTAGCTCTACCGGCTATATCATACCCCGGATCATCCTCGGTTTGTGCCGGCAGAGCTACGGTCCTTTCCCGGTATACATTCGACCCCGGATGGAATAAAATATTTAATATCACCGGGGTGGTCCGGGATGATCCGGGAAGGTATAGCTTTGCCGGCTTCATCCTTAGCTCTGCCGGGAACGACCGGGGTTATACCGGCTCTTCCGGCACAAACCGAGGATGATTCGGGGTATGATATAGCCGGTAGAGCTACGGCAGAGCTACGGTAGAGCCCCGGTATATGCTGGCAGAGCCCCGGTAACTACAGGCAGAGCCCCGGAGGATAAAGGTAGAGCTACGGTTGATCCCGGCAAAGCCCGGATCATTTCAAAAGAATAACGACAATTTGCGATGATTGCACTTGTTTGTATTAATTAAAACCCTTCCCATTTCCCTTCTATCCAGTATGGCATAAAGATTTTTTCAGAAAATCATCATGAATTACTATTCTGGAACAATAGATATTATATTAAATAAAACTTATGTATCAATGTTATCATTTTCGGGCGTTTTAATCCACCGGGGTTCTACCGGGGCTCTGCCTGGATCGTCCTGGGCTCTGCCTGGATCGACCGGGGCTCTGCCTGGGTCAACCGGGGCTCTTCCGGGGTCATCCGGGAACGACCGGGGAAGCACCGGCATGAACCGTAGCTTTACCTGGGCTCTGCCTCGATGATCTGTAGCGCATCCTTGGTGGTTAGTTGGGAACTACCGTAGTGCTGCCGGGGTAAGTGTGACCGCAACAATAATTTCACCCCGGACGTCCCGGATCATCCCGGTAACTTACCGGGATGGTCCTGGGCTCTGCCGGAAAATAAGTGAGACCGCAGCTTTACTGACTGCTTTTCCATGGACAAGTTCAATCACCGCGAAAATCTTATTTTTACGAGCTAAAATGGAAATATTCTTTTATTTTGGATTATTTATTTCATAAAAAAGACAAAATATTTAAGAAAATTTTAACACGGGTGTGCCGTGTGTAATGAATTTATTGACAGCCATTATCGATAAGTCGTTTTGAAATGTCAGGGACATTTGTAAAGTCATACAACAAGAACAAAAACAGCAATAGCAGCAAAAACAACAACAACAACAACAATAACAACAACAATAGAAATAAGAAGAAGAAGAAGACTAAGACAAAGACGAAGAAGAAGAAAGAAAAAAAGACGAAGAAGAAGAAGAACAACAACAACAACAACAAAAACAACAATAACAACGTGTAATTTACCTGCTGCTGATGTAAATGTCAAAAGTAATAGGAATAATACACAGGTTATTCCAGTCATTCTGCGCCAGCCACTATGTCCACTAGTCGTTGAATGTTTGTTTTGTACAATTTAATAATTTAATTATTCTAAATAAACTTTATTATCGACTTTCAATACTCGACGAAAGGCTATTCTGTATACTGTAGAACTGTAATTGTAGATTTTAGTTAAGCAATAACGGGACGGTCAAGAGAAAGAACAAAACTAACGATATGTCGTTAAAATCTTTACAAACATACTTACAGTGAGATTTAGTTTAAATTTTCAAATGATTTGTTCCGGGTGATAAGATAAAGAACACATGGATTTGTGTCAGTAACAGTAAAACTAGCATCCCTCGTGAAAATACTATATTACCTTACTGTACGAAATGTTACGCCCCCGAGTTGGGGCGGAATGACAGCACGGATTTCGTCCAGAAAGTTAAAATTCCTTTATAATTTTCAGTATATGAGGAGGGTTCATTTTAGGGCGGATTCCAGGCGGAAATGGCACGGAATCTGGCACGAAATATGTAAATGAGCAGAAAAATGTCCGAGCAGAATTTTAAACGGATTTTTAGGCACGGAATTTTCGGCACACGGATTCCAGGCGGAAATTGTACGTAATTGGGCACTTAATATGAAAATGAGCAGGAAAAATACCGTCGCAAAATTTTAAACGGATTTTTTGGGGGCACGGAATTCAGACTGAAATGGCACGGAATCTGGCATGAAATATGTAAATGAGAAGGTAAAAAGACTGTCCAGAAACTTTTGACATGGAATCCGGTTGAAATGCCACAAAATATTGTCCATTATAAACAAAAAAACTTGCTTAGCACATGCATACCTACATATAGCATATTTGAGTCATTCGTCTAAAAAGGAGTACTGTCTTTATAAAACATACATGATTAAAGTTATGTCCATAACTGATACTTTTGGGTTTTCAGATTCACTTAAGATTTGCATTACAAAGATACATTTGATTAAATAGCTCGACCTTCTTAAAATGGGTTTGTTAAATAACAAAAATCGCCGAGGACTATATTGGTTAAACGAGGCCGGGGCTTAAGCAGAATGGTGAAATTTTGAATTTAGAAACATCCGAAGATGTGCTCATACGGCGGTTGGCAAGCGGTGTATGGTCCCCAAATAAAAGAGTGAATGTGCACTAACCGAGATAACAATGGGCGGAACTAAATAAAATGGAATTTTGAAAGGTGATCTGAAGTTATGAAGGATGCATATCATAGACAAGACATCAAAAGACAAATTTAAAAAGAAGGCAACATATATTATAAAGGTGATTATATAGTTTTCAAGTAGGAATACTTGAACCACCCAAGTTAATAAAGCCTAAATGGTAGAAACTAAAATACCACAAAACATGGATACACTACAATAACATTATTGTCGGCTCATAAAAATATAGTCACGTTTCATCCCCTCATCCCGTGTGATAATTTCTCTCAGGCGTCTAGGGTCATGATATCTGAACCTAATTTATAAGGCCGAGGCTTTTTTTATCCGTTCCCTTTTCTGGTCAGATGTTAGCAAATGCTAGAATTTCTTTCAAGCTTGAAACACATATGACGCACGAAGGCCTGATATGTCATTTATATTCTCAACGGCGTATCTTGCATCATCATCAACTTTGGCGTTGACAGTGCTGATGTTTTCTTTCAGAGGTAGCCAGGGTGTTAATCATCCTGAACATAAGTTTAACCTTCCTAAAATAAACATCGACACCCACCTGACAATTGTACGATATCGAAAGGCACTTTCCCATAAACTAAATCGAGGCCTTTTAATTTCGACCGTATTTACCCAAAATCCAAAAAATTTGCAAAAAAAGTTTTTTCTCCCCTCAACTAAAGCAACTCAGCCATTTTTAAAAACAATAAAAAACCAACATTTTTGGGCCTGCTAAAATTTTTTTGTACGGGAAAATCATGCAAAAATGTAAATTATTTTTTGTTTTGCCTAATATTTTTTGGAAGCTTTTTTATTTTTCCAAAATTATTATGATTCCCTAATCGACTCTTAATGATAGGAATGTAGTAGATTCTTTATTTCATACAAACGTCTCAATGGTGGTAAGACTGACATCATAGGAATTGCGAAGTTGCAAGTTCGAATGCTCGACAAACTTTTTTCTTCTTCAGATTTCTTTAATTAACTATTAACTTATATGTAGCATCAACGGACTAATCATTGCTTTAATATCTTATGTATTTTCTTTAAAAAATAACTTTGATATATATATATGTAGATGTATATATGTCAAGTTTCATAATTTTGTCACAGATGACACCAGTATTGTTCGAAGGTCATCAAGAGTTAGAAAACCACCAGATAGGTATGGTGAGTGGGTTAGACACATCACAGCAAATGATTATTTGATTATTATCAAAATCATGACATATTAAGGAAAGACAAGGTTAGAATAAAAACTTGATTTCAGAAAAAAGAATGCTATAAATAATAAATCTGCAAATTTTCTGCCGCCAAATAATAATATTAAACGAATGATAACAAAATTTAAATCGCTAAATCACCGATTTCTACAAATCAGTAAGCGCGGCCATGTTTGTGTATTGGGCCGTATAAAACAGGTGCGCGCGTGAAATGTCATTTCCCCACATCTTTAGATTTATGATAAATCTAATTGAATCGTAGGGAAATATTAATATAATAAAGTATTGACCAGACAATTTAATTTTTACAGGAGGTGTAGAGGAGGTTTTTTTATGGTTCAAAATACGTAACAATATCAAAAAAAAAAAAAAAATAAATAAAGAAACAAAAAAAAATCAACGTCTACCGGTCGCACCACTTCAGGCCAGTAATGACCGTTACTCCAAACAATGCTATGTTCATTAAAGTCTCATCTTAATGTAATTAAACAAAATTTCACAGATTTAATAAAAACACATGTTATTATTTAACAAAGTTTCACAATCAAATAATGCGATTAAATAAACAAACGCACCAACGAATAATTGGCAAAACACCCATAAACACTTTCAATATGATCTACGTAAATAACCGAGGTGTATCGAGTGAAAAAATACGAGTTGCTTCCCTTATCTTCGAGTAAAATCGATATCGCTTATGCTAAAACTATACAAAATAACCTGTTTTTTAAAGCTGCTAGTTTGTTGTGATTAAATGCCAATTTTAAAATGTATTACACCAATAGAAAGCTTTGGATCTTAGCTTCGTCACAGTATAAAATTCAAACATCTTTGGACTTCAAAAGTGTTTTAAATAACTGTTAAACCTAAGTTCCATATGTCAGACCATTTTTACATACGATTTATACAGTGAGATATGCAACCCCGTCTATCTTTACTCGAAATACCACTGATATGAAAAGCCTGTCGTCTGCTAGTTCTAAAAGTGTTTATCATTATTATAATCAAAGGGCTGCAGCTCTATGGTATTTTCTGATCTTTGCAATCTAAATCATACTGACTATCTGTATGTACTTTCCTGTATAAGTTTAGTTTTCTGTACGAAATCTGCTGTGGTCATAGTATTATTTTTACAATAGGTTTATCTCTTAGATTTGGTTTGCTACTGTATTGCTAATCATGGTCATGCAACTTAACATAGTTAGGTGAAGAAGCAGGCCGCTTGTTTTGGTTGAGTCTATTATGTTTTGTTTAGGGGGTGAGTTGTCATACACAAATTTTCAATTTATATGCATTTATTTTTTTTCCAATGATTGTTATTATCTTAAATGCTTCTGGGATTATTGTTTTATCAATTCATTTGTAAATAAGATTTTTATATGTCTATTAACGGAATAAGTTTAATGAACACGAAATTAGTTCACACCTTTATGTGTATTGATAACGTGATGGTTTAAGCCAATGAAAACACATCAATATTATTACAATCAGGCAGAGAAAAAGTGTGCAAAGAGAAAATCGATAATCTTTATGTAGCAAACAAACTTTGAATTGCAAGTATTTTTTCATATCTTTTCGGCAGGATAAACTGTCCGAGGAGGGCCAGGCATTATCGTAAAATGGCTGCCATGTACAGTATTAAGTAATTATCCCAAGCACCACCGCGACTTTGCGCGGGGATTTTAATTATAGCTAACCTCGGCGCGTCGCATAGGATGGAAAATACCTTTTTCATATTTTATTGTAATAAATATTTACAAACTGTTTCTTTCGTTTTTTTATCAATATATAACCAATAATGATGTTAATATGAATAAATAATAATATCTCAAATCTGTGACTATGATTTACAATGAAATTCTACCTTAAGTGTATTAAAAAAGGTTTTTTAATTTCCTGTAATTTTATTACATTTTATTTTGTGATTATGCTTCAAAGCAGTCAATTGACCGTGAATTTTCTTTTCATATTTTGATTTTCTTGAAATGATTTTTCTCATCTGAAGGCATGCAACTTTAATATGATGATACATTAATTACATTCCATGAAAATGTTTAAAGATATAAAATATCTCATGACATGTTTGTTCATTTTACATTACAGCTTTAATTCTGCAAACATAAAGTCTTCACAAAAAGTAGTATGCAATCGTACCTATATTACATACGAATGTATGTAATATTTTTTTGTATATACTATAATTCATCTTACGCAGCGACAGCGTTTTGATTTTCTTCTATAACAGTTTGAGATTGATACATATGGAATTTTGCATGAAAAAAAAAATTGCCTCGACTAGGATTTGATCACACCCTCAACGAGACCGCTTACCTCTGCACCACGGCGAAGTTATACATATGTACCTTGAATAAAAACGAATACATTATGTAATTCTAAATTGAGAATTTCAATTTCGTGTTTGTAATCATTATTAATTTCGAGGTATTTTGTTCACGATAAACAAAATTTATTTATTTATTTATTATTTATTTAAAATTCAGTTTAACACTGATGAAAATAATTTAGCGAAAATCTTCTCACCAAAACAGTCCGACATGTATATATTCCACTACTTGACAGTCAGATTTATTTGTGTACTTCGCTCTGGAGTATTCGGTAATCGGTAAGGGTGTAACGGTTTACCGGTATACCGATATATAAATTTGCAATATGAAAAAATAAATTTCGAACCTCGGTACTATTTTTGAAAAACCGGTATTTTATAAAAAA